TATAGCCCCAGCTGGCCTAGAACTCACTATGTAGACCAGGCTGGCCGAACTCACAGAGATCCACCTGCCTCTGCCTCCCGAGTGCTAGGACTAAAGGCATACACCACCACGCCCCGCCCTGTTTCCGTTTTTTTAACTAGTGTTGGAACTTGAACCAAGCACTGTACCACAGAACTGTGTCCCTAGCCCTGGTGTGATTTTTGAGGCTGCTATGTTTGTATGCAGATTTTGCATTTTATTTGAAAATGCACACTAATTGTTTTTATCCACTGAGAGGAATCAATTTGGGAGTAAGCAATGTAATTTTCTTTTTTTCTTTTGTACTGTGAAACAGAAATGTAGGTATTAGACTTCCTGGACGACAGACAAACCAAAGAGCAGAGATCCATGTAAGTTCCCAGATAAACGTGAGTCTCTTGTTCCTCAGTATGACTTGGAGAACATATCGGCCTTGTACCCCTTTTTTTACTGTCTATAGATAAAAGGCGTTTGAAGTCCACAGAAAACTTGTGGGCTAGTAACAATTTTGAAAGGGTAATTTTCTAGAAAGATTCTAGAAACATTTGAAGTAGGTGCCAGCAGGAGCATTGTAGGCTTAGCCTTCCTTCACATAGAGAATATAATCATGGAAGCATAGAGGTACTTTCATTCTGAAGGCCTGTTGGTCATCAGTCATATAGAAAGTTGAGCATTTCCATGTAGCCTGACCGTGGACTTTGTTTTTCAAGGCAGCCTGCAAAGCCATTTCACAAGCAAAGGCTCAGAACATCAGCAAGCTGGTTCTGTACACAGACAGCATGTTCACCATAAATGGTAAGTGCTCATGTCTCGTTTCTTCTAATGCTTTCCCAGTCACTATGAAGGGAACAGGCCTTTCTTCCTAGTAGGAGGTAGTATAACAGGACTGGGCACAGGTGGGAGTGAGGATGACACTGGGACTTACCAGGTTCAGAGGACTTGGGAGTCCCGGTCTGCTGTCCTAAGATGAGGCTTAGCTCTCGAACACCTGGGGTTTGTATGTATGTGAGTAACTTATATCACAGTATGCTGGCTTTGGGGTGGCTTACACAGTAGTGTCAGGAAGTGTCAGTACGAGGCTGGGAAGGCTTCCTGGAGGAAGTCAGACACAGATTAACCTGAGAGCTGCAGGTTGGATACAGCTAGCAAAAAGAGGAAAGGTGGGGGCTTCAGGAGTGTGCCAAAGTCTTTCTAAACAAGTGAGGCTAGCTAAGGAAGGGAATCCTCCAGGCTTTGACTCAAACACAGAGGGAGCCAGTGTGAGGAGAGACTGGGAGCAGGAGAGGCCAGGCCCTGTGGATGGAGGGTGAGCCTGTGAGCATGCGTTCTTCTAGGGATAACCAACTGGGTTCAAGGCTGGAAGAAGAATGGGTGGAGAACAAGTGCTGGCAAAGACGTGATCAACAAGGAAGACTTCATGGAGCTGGAGGAGCTTACTCAGGGCATGGACATCCAGTGGGTGAGTCCTGACAGTACTGCATAGCTGCTGTGACCGGTCTAAACTAACCAGAGAAGAAGGGTTTGTGGAAGGGATTTAATGAGGTGGGTTAAAGTATCAGTTTCCATGAAGCATGCGTGCGTGGGTGCGTGCGTGCGTGTGTGTGTGTGTGTGTGTACGCGTGCGTGCGTGCGTGTGTGTGTGTGTGTGTGTGTGTATGTACACATATATCAGCATGCATTAATTATACGTAATGATGATTTTGTTTATGAGATTTGCATACATATGTGTAGTATATTTTGTTGATGTTCATACCCTTTACCCTCTCTTGTCCCCGCCACTGATTCTCTTCCCATTTTCCTCTTCCTCACTCTCACCCTTCTACTACATAATTTTTGTCTGTTTTTTGTGGCCCAGTAAGTTTCATTAGGGTTGCTTGTAAGAGATGATGAGTGAGGGGTTATTTATAGGAACATGGGCACCTTACCAGTGGCTCCACTACTGAAGAAAATCCCTCTCTTCCCCATAAACTATTAACTACTTACAGATCCCCAGGGATGGGTAGGGCCTCATGAACCCCTTCCCTATCCATGACAGTGTCCACAGGTCCAGTCTTGTACAGGTCCTGTCCAGGAGTTCATGAGTACCAAAGGCCATGTCATGCCTGGAAGATGGCATTCCACAACACTCCACCCCTTGCTCTGGTTCTTACATACGCTGACTCCTGAGCCTTGGAGGGGCTGATTTAGACGTTCCATTCATAGCTGAGCATTCAACAGTCATTTATTCTCTACACTTAGTTATGAGTCTGCATTAACCTCCACCCACTGCAGAAAGAAGCTTCTTTGGCCAGAGCTGGCAGCAGCGCTAATCTGTGAGCATACACACAGACATTTAGAAGGCATTTTGGTGGACACAAGATGTCCATTTAGCAAAGTAGTAGTAGCTTTCCCAATAGGGTCTATTCCTTCCCAGCAGAGGCTTTTGATCAGGTTTATAGTACCAGATGTGAATTTCCCTCCTATGAAGTGGGCTATGGTTCCCATAGAAAGTGGTTGGTTGCCTCCATAACATACTTGCTACTGTTACTTCAATGGTATCTTCAATAATAGGGTCTTATCATCTAGTTCTGGTGGCCAACCAAGAACAATGGAAATAGCTTGTGTTGTTTGGGGGCCACAGCGGCCTCCCTGACCAAATAATACTGTTGGTTTGTAGGTTTGTTTGAGGCAGGGTCTCATGTAGCCTAAGCTGGCCTCAAACTTGCTATGTAGCAAGGGTGATCTTAAGCTTCTGATGCTCCAGCCTCCATCTACCAATGCTAGAATTATAAACAAGTGTCACCACACGCAGTTTATGCAGTGCTGAGGATTGAGCCCAGGGCTTTGTGCATGTTAGGCAAGCACTCTACCACCTGAGCCCCAACCCTAGCCCCAGTGTGTTGTCTTGTTCAGAGTTCTATCAGGGAAGGGGAGCTGTTAAAGGGGAGCTTTGTCACTCAGTCTGTTCTGAATACATATATTTTTTGGGTGTGAAAAAATGGTCATGTGTTGCATGTGTAAAAATCGGGAAAAGTAAGCCAGGCGTGGTGGCACATCCCTTTAGTTCTAGCACTCGGGAGGCAGAGGCAGGCAGAGCTCTGTGAGTTCAAGGCCAGCTGGGGCTACAAGGAGACCCTGTCTCAAAAAAAAATCAGGAAAAGTAAAGGGGGAAATTTTGTTTTAACAGATGCACATTCCTGGTCACTCGGGATTTGTGGGCAACGAGGAAGCTGACAGATTGGCAAGAGAAGGAGCAAAGCAGTCTGAAGACTGAGTGAGCTTGAGAGCACTCTGGAGACCCAGCTGGTGGCTGTTGTTTCACCCTGGCATGCAGTGAGTGCGGCATGGACTGCCACAGTAGGCAAGCAGGCGCACTCTCCAGCTGAGGCAAGACACTCTGATGACCTGTGCTGCAGCTTGATTAAAACATGCCTGAATACATCAGAAAGCAAAGATCGTGAGATTTCAGCATTTATGCTTTAGGGCTTGATATTATTCTTGTTTCTTTTATTACAATTTGGCCCAAAACATTTGAGTTTTGTTTTGACTTTAAGAAGGAATCAGTAAGTACTGGTTAGAAGATGTAAACAAGTGGCCTAAAGGTATTCCAAAAATGATCATTTTCCTTCCAGTTTGCATGACTGCCTTGTGCCTGTGTGCACGTCACATAAGATGCAGCTATACTGGAACCCAAGTCTTGGGTCTTCAGGAGGGCAAAGTCTGCACACAGATAACCTCAGTTCCTGGACCACTGTGTAGGAACAGCTTCAAAAACCAAGATGGTATGGTGGCTCACACTTTTAGTCTGCGGATCTCTATGAGTTCCAGGCAGGACAGCCAGGGCTATGTTGCGAGACCTAGGCTCAAAAAACCAAGCAAAACAAAAAACTAAGATGTATAAATATATATCTAGTAAATTTCTTTAGGTTTTTTTCTTAAAAATATTGTACAAATTTAAAACAAATGTTTGAAATGATCTTTATTTTTATAATAAAAGCATATAGGAATGGCACAACACAGGTATAGTGTATTGAATTACAGCTCCGACATGGCACCTAACAACTATCTGTAACTACAGTTCCAGGGGGCCTGACACCCTCTTCTGGCTTCTGTAGGCATTTCATGAATGGGTACATTTCATAAATCCAGGCAAAATACTTATACACATAAAATAAAAATAAATACATTTAAAAATAATTTTAAGTGAATGTCCTTTAATATCTAAAACTAGAAATTGAGAAAATCACTCTAGAACATGTTAGTCAACCTGTTCCAGACAAAGAAACCCACACAGTCCTCAAGCAGTGGAAATTTGTCCAGCTCCACTCGAGAGGATGGGAATGTCAGGGATGCTGAGGCAGTTACCGTCAGCTCCTCAACGCTTTGGGAAATTGGGCCACCTGCTGGAACTGAGGGCAGATGGAGTCACTCCTGAAAACCAGTGACAGGCACGTTTCATCTGCTCCTCCATCCTGTTCTGTAGAATGGTGACAAACCTGGGGTCTGGCTGTAGTGGCCCTGGAAAACTCTGCAGTACCTAGACCTATGTGGAAAGTTCTGGAATAATAAGTAGGACAGGAAGTACTGATGGTTGCCACAGCAGGTGTGGAACAGGCTCTGAAAGTGCACAAGAGGCAGACAGGTCAGCTAGGAGTTGGAGAGCAGGGCAGTGGCCCTGGGCGAGACTGAGATTCTGAATGCGTCTTCTGCTGGCTTCATGTTTGGTTTGTGTAGTAAGATCTGTTTGAAAATTCTGTTGAGGGCTGGGGAGATAGCCCAGGTAAATGCCTGCTGCAGGAACCCAGGGACCTGACTTCAGAACCAGCAACTGTGGAAAGGCTGGGCATGGCTGTGTACCTTAACCCCAGTGCTGTCCAGGTGGAGACAAGAAGATCACGGGGGCTTGCTGGCCATTCAGCCTAGCCCAAAATCCATGAGCCTGGGTTCAGTGAGGCCCTCTCTCAAGAGAATAAGACAGAGTGATAGAATAGGACATTCAATGTCCTGAGGCTTCATGCACATGCATGAACACACCTGCATATACACCACACAAAATCCTAGTAGAGAGCCAGTGCTGCCAGCACATACTTATCTCAGTCTTTGGAAGGCAGAGGCAGGGGGATCAGCCTAGGCTACATGGCAAATTTGAAGCTAGTCTAGGCCACCAAACAAACAAAGACTCCTAAATGGGATTTTTTTCTGTGTGTGTGTGAGCACTGGAGAGTGAATAGAGAGCCTCTAACATGCCAAGGAAGCACTCTGCCACTGAACTATGTCCTAGAACTCTTAATTTTGTGTTTGTTATGTGTGCATGGACGTAGAGACTGGAGACTGGTGTCAAGTGTCTTCCTCAGCTGCTCTCCACCTTGTAAAAATGAGCATTAGTTGGGGCTGGAGAGGTGGCTCAGCAGTTAAGAGTACTGACTTGCAGAGGACCTGGGTTTGATTCCCAGCACCCACATGGTGGCTACGAACTGTCCTTAACTCCAGTTCCAGGGGAATCCAAAACCCTCTTCTGACCACCGTGGCATTGCACGACACAGGTGCACTCACATACATGCAGGCAATATACTCATACACATAAAATAAAAAAAAATAAATTGCATATATCAATTATATGTAATGGGTTTCATTATGACATTTTCATAATGTGTATATAGTGTATTTTGATCATTTTTACCACCCATAACCCTTTCTTGTCTGCCTCAACTCCTTCCTCTTCCAACCAGTTCCCTTCCATTGAATAACAACTCACAATTTGTTGTTATAGAAAGATAAAAGGCCTTGATACTAGCTTGATATACAAGATTGTCTGAGGACGGGCTGGCGAAAAGCTCAGTGGTCAAGAGCATTTGCTGCTCTTGCAGAGGTCCAAAGTTCAGTTGCACCGTATTAGCTTACAACTGCTTGTAACTCCAGTTCCAGGAGATTTGAAACCCTTTGGCCTTTCAAGGTACCTGCACACATGGTACACAAACTCACACAGGTGTACACAATTTTTAAAATTTTTTAAATTTTTTATTATTTTTATTTTATGTATATGAGTGTATCACCTGCATGTAGGTAAGTACATCTGTGTTGTGCAATGGCTGCAGAGGTCAGAAGAGGGCATTGGATCCCCTGGAACCAGAGTTACAGATAGGTGTTAGCCACCATGTGGGTGCTGGAAATCAAACCTGGGTCCTCAGCAAGAGCTGTCAGTGCTCTTAACCACTGAACCATTTCTCCAGCCCCACAAATAAAAATAAATCTTTCACTTGGGAGGCAGAGGCAGGTAGGTCTTTGTGAGTTCGAGGGCAGCCTGATCTATATAGTGAGTTCCAGGACAGCTGGGGCTACAGGGAGACCCTACCTCAAAAAGACAAAAAAAAAAAAAAAAAAAATCTTTTTTTAAATTGGAAAATAGAAACAAACCCTCTTGATACAGAAAGTCTAGGTCAGTCATACTCAAAAATTAAAATGTACACACCTTTAATCCCAGCACTCTGTAGCCCAGGCAGGCCTTAGTTTGCTATCTTCCTACCTCAGTTTCCAGAGAAGTTAGGATTTTGGGACTGTACCACCAAATGCCACTGTTTTGTTTTCTTGTTTTTTGAGGCAGGGTCTTACTTAATCTGGGGTGGCCTTGAACTTGCTACGTAGTCAAATATGACCTTGAATTTGCAAACCTGCCCTAGCCTCCCAAGTGCTAGGATTATAGGTGTATACCACCATGCCCAGTTTATTTATACAAAACGGAATTGAACGCAGGGCTTTGTCCAGTCAGTCTACTAACTGAACTGCATCCTAGCCAATTGGCTTTTTCCCCTTAAGATTTATTTTATTTTCAATTTTGTGTATGTGGATATGTGTATGTCTGTGTGTGGATATGTGCATGAATACTGGTGCCTGAGGATACTACAGGCCTCAGATGCCCTGGAGCTGGAGTTACAGATAGTTGTGAGCTGTCCAACATGGGCGCTGGGAACTAAAACTCTGGTCCTCTGGAAGAACAGCAAGTGCTCTAAACCACTGAGCCCTTTCTCTAGTCCCTCATTGGTGACTTTTTAAAAGAGCAAGACCCAGGTATGGTGGTGGCACACACCTTTAATTCCAGCACTTGGGAGGCAGAGGCAGGTGAATCTATGTGAGATTGAGGCCAGCCAGTCTATATAGTGAGTTCCAGGCCAGCCGTGGCTAATAGGGAGACCCTACCTCAAAAAAGGAGCCTTGCTGGGCATGGTGGTGCACGCCTTTAAACCCAGCACTCGGGAGGCAAAAGCAGGTGGATCTCTGAGTTCAAGGCCAGCCTGGGCTACATAGTGAGTTCTAGGACAGCTGGGGCTACAGGGAGACTCTGTCTCAAAAAGACCAAAAAAAAAAAAGGGAGCCTTGCCCAAATAAATAAATAAAAAAGTATCCCAAACCAGATATGGGAGCACACACCTGGGAGCATGTCGGAGGTGCAGGCAGGAGTGAAAGACCTTAGTAAGTTCAAGGCTTTCCATCCTGAACTTCCCAGCCTCCTTATCTATGTGAAATAAAATTCTGTATATTATAAATTCTGTAATTTATTCTGGGCCTGCTGGCACAAGCATGTAATCCCAACTACATGGGAGGCAGAGGCAGGAGGGTTGCAAATTCAAGACCAACATGGGCAACTTAGTGAGACGCTGTCTCAAAATAAAAGGGACTGGGGCTAGAGCTCAGTTGTAGAGCTCTTGCCTAGTGTGCATGATGTCCTGGGTTCTATACCCAGGACCAAAGATGGGTGGGGAGAGACCCCCAATCCACAGTCTTCTGTCACAGCTGTATAAACCGGACCGGCACAGGCAGATACTGGGGATTGAATTTGGGGTCTCCATGTTAGGAAAGCATTCAACCCACTCAGCTACATCCTCAGCTAATCTGGTTGTTAATGAATTAGTGACCAAGACTAAGCATTGTTGATGTATAGAGAAAGCCACTGTCTTTTGTAACACTGATATCTGTCCTAACAGTGCTTGTTGAGCTCTTCCCCCTCCTAGCACTTCCCCTGTTAATTGCCTTGCCTTTCCCAAGCATACAATTCCATCATCTGCTGAGAACACTCAGTGCAACTCTTTTTCCTGCACTTAATGTCTCTTATTACTGTCTGGCGGCTAATTGCCCGTCTAGTGCTCCCCACACTTTCCCACTCAGGTGGTGAATGGCTGGAGTGCATCTGAGCAGAGCACTCTGGGTGAGATGGGTCTCTCAACCTTCAAAATTTAGGACGCTTTCTTGTGCTTATCTCTCGCAACCCCACCATCCAAAAATACATTACTGAGTTTACTTTTTACAGTTGCGTTATGCAATGGAAAGTCACACATTGCATGGCTTCTGTAGGTTGCAAGGCCCCTGGGGGGTTCTCTGTCCTCTTCAGCATTGCTGACTACTCATGCCAGTCACTCACCTGTGCCACCTCTTCACATGCCACTTGGATGCCTGCTCCAAGGTTTTGTTTTTTTTTTGAGACAGGGTCTCCCTGTAGCCCCAGCTGACCTGGAACTCTCTGTGTAGACCAGGCTGGCCTTGAACTCACAGAGATCCACCTGCCTCTGCCTCCCAAGTGCTGGGATTAAAGGTACGCACCATGCCTGGCTCTCACTAGGAGGTTTTTGTTGTTAGCCCCCTATCTACTCACCCTCTGTCTAACTGGACATGGCTGGAGTCCCCAAGTATGCACCAAGGTACTGCAGTGTGAACCCACAGAGAATGCAGGGCCTCTCCAGATCTCTGGGAAAGTTGTACTTTATGGCTTTGGGAGCCCATGTCCCCACTATCAGGTCACTGGTCCTTCCATGATGCCATGGCCCTGTGAAGCAGGTGTTTTGAGTGATTTGATAAAAGCAATTTG